CGATTACGCCGAGAGCGAGGGGGTGTTGGGTTGAGGTGCATGAGAAGAAAGACAACGACGTGGTTGAAGAGGGTGGGAAGGAGTGGTGGCCGAGGAATTTGGGGTCGTGGAGTGTCGGGGCTTGGATGGAGGACGTGGATTGGAGATTGGGGGAGGTGGTGGAGTGGACGGTGTAAGCATAGTGATGCGACGTCTGATGGCGCTTTCAGTCATGTATTGCTGATATGCGAAGCGTTTTGCAATTGCACGTCGACGCTGTAGTATTGGTTGTATGTGCAACTAGCTTCTCGTGGAAGCGCGTCGAAGTGAAAGGCGCGCCTGCTGCGTATCTGTTTACAATGCAGTTGCCTTGATGTGACGCGTCGATTGCACAAGCTTCAACTCACATGGGAACAACTTTCACCATCATTTTTCCCTGACTTTGATCACATCACATATGAGTGCCACTCTAACGTATACCTTTAACCATATTGTTGCTCTCTACGTGTTTTATTATTCTCGGTCGCACAAAAATATCCACCTCCACACGCATATCTATCAGGGCTCGGTTCGGACACATGTGGATGTTGGTGAGTGTACCCTGAACCAGATCTCCGTCCTACGATCATGCTGATGTACATGTAGCTTACTCTTTCAACCACCACAATTCTCATCATGATGCTTCTTCCGGTCTCATACGACCTTGGCTGGACAGCTAAGCTCCTCCGTCGCGACTTACGAGTCCTCCGGATGAAGCTCACCACGAGACTGAAGCTCAAGTCCAAGCCTGGCGAGGCCACCAAAGACACCTCGGAGCCGAAAAATCTTCATTACGTGAATCGATTGCCGATGAATGTCAGTGAAGCCACTGCATACTCCAGGCCACAAGGAGACGTTCCAGACGACGAACCGGTGACCGACAGCGAAAAGTGCAACGATACACTCTACGAACTCTTGGAAGGCAGAATCAGAGCTACGTATGCGTCTCGCAATCGCGATGTATCACATCAAGACCGCTGGAGGTTCCGCGGTAGTTGGCTACTGTTATACAAGGCCATCCAGACATGTGCCTTGAATGACAGCTGCGACATCCTTCGCGCGTGCGCACACGATACAAACGAGAAAAGGTTGCTGCTGGAGATGCTGCAACTGAGCACGAACCGGAATAGATTGCCTTTCCACGAGGTCAGCAAAATGCCCGCTGCACCCTACACCAAGCATGATAGCGACCATAGCCGTTATGATTCCATGCTTAGCAACGCTACTACACTCACACCCACTCCCTCGCCCGCGCAGATCTGGCTATCCATACTCGAAGCCACCAACGACGCGGAAAAGATTGCGCCTATGGCTCAAGAGCTTTTACAGTATACATGGTCAGGAAAGGAAGCTTTCGACATCATTGAGCAGATCGGAGACCCCCACAAGAAGTTCCCCGACGCCGACGACGCTGAGCTCCGTGTCAAATTCCGACAGTTGCTATGTTCGGAGTTGATGCTTTCCACGCCCTGCCGTTGATCTCACCGCCAATATCACACAATGTCTTGGTTTTCGGCATCTAGGGCGAATCATACACCGCGTCGGAAAAGGTGTGTGTGGAAAACCCTTCGTCGGCAGCGGGCGATACCGCATTGCGAGTGGTAGCCGAAGCGGCACAGTGGGTCTATTGGTCATGGCTCTTTACCCCTCTATGGGCCTTCAATGTACTTATACCGCTCGGGGAGCTCGACTATGCAACACCAAACCGCTCGGGGAACCACAAACTGCGACTGAATTTCCGCGCGCGTCATCGATTGGGAGGTATAACAGGGCCACGAGAACGCTTTTGGGGACTGTGTAGGAGTTTTGCGACACTTTCCAAATCTGAACGACTGCTTTCCGCGCAGCACGCGCATTGTTATACATATTCGTCCTCTTCCCCGATACGAACGCAACAGGTCGTATGAGCAGCGAACCAAAAGGCAGCACGCCAGGATCAATTAGCCCACACTGCAATCTGACTAGAGTCAACACTTACCCCCACGCCGAATTTACCATCCCACCATCGGACACACTTTCGCCATGCCAAAGTGCCCAAACTCACAACGCCGATGCCCCGGCATCGGCCAGCTTCAAGGCGAATCGCCCAAGCAACACTGCAACTGGAGATGAGAAAGCTCACCGACCTCATGATGAGGAATCTCGATCAACCTCTATCGCCAATGACGAAGTAACCTATCCTGAAGGCGGCCTAGGTGCCTGGTCTGTAGTTCTGGGATCGTTCCTTGGTCTCATCGCCTCGCTGGGCATGATGAACACTGTCGGCATCTACCATGCCTACATCGCCGAGCACTTTCTTGCGGATTACTCCGAGTCGACCGTCTCATGGATCTTCAGCATGTACGTCTTCCTGTCGTTCTTCTGCGGACTACAGATTGGACCCATCTTCGATGCCCATGGTCCGCGACTTCTGGTGCTGGCAGGTAGCATCCTGATCTGCCTGTCCAACTTCCTGCTCGGCTTGTGCACATTGTACTGGCATTTCTTTCTCGTCTTTGGCGTGCTCGGTGGTCTCGGTACATCCTTGATCTTCACGCCCGCTTTTGCAGCAGTCAGCCACTTCTTCCTGCAGAAGCGCGGCAACGCAACGGGTATTGCTGCCGCTGGAGGATCGCTGGGCGGAGTGATATTCCCGTTGGCTTTGGAGAAACTGCTACCGAATGTGGGCTTCCCATGGGCGACTCGCATTATTGGCTTTATCACGCTTTTCTGCTGCGTCGGCGCCTGCTTCCTCATCCGCTCTCGCCTACCACCCAAAGCTGGACAGTCAGTATGGCCAGACTTCCGGATCTTCAGCCAAAAGAGCTACTTTCTCCTCACAGTCGGCATCTTCATGATGGAATGGGCGCTCTTCATCCCGATCACGTACCTCACTACCTTCGCGATCAGCACCGGCGCCTTTAACCCGTCGTTCTCATACCAACTCATCGCCATCTTCAACGCAGGAAGTTGTCTCGGCCGCTGGGTGCCGGGTCTCCTAGCCGACAAGCTCGGGCGCTTTAACAGCATGATAGCTGCACTAGCAGTCTGCTCAGCTACATCACTGGTGTTCTGGCTCCCCGCATCACTCCTTACCCCCACCACTGAGGCCGAGGCGACAGCTATAAAAGCTCTCTCTATTGTTTACGCAGTCATCTTCGGTTTCGCATCTGGCTCGAATATTTCCCTCACGCCAGTTTGTGTAGGCCAGCTCTGCGATACGAATGTGTACGGGAGATACTACGCTACGTGCTATACTGTTGTCAGCTTCAGTACGCTCACGGGTATCCCTATCGCGGGGGCTATCATTCAGGCTACAGGCGGACACTACTGGGGTGTGGTCATCTGGACTGCAGCTTGCTATATAGTGGCATCGCTCTGCTTTGTGTGGAGTCGCGCACTCCAAGTTGGCTGGAAGTTGGGTGTGAAGTTTTGAGGCGTGGTGGTCGGCTGTGTAGATTTGCGGGGATGCCGCATGTCCATGGACTTGAAACTGCGCCCTTGGAGAGGCGATCCAATCGCCGTAAAAGGAGAATGGTGCAGATCGGAGGAAGAAGATACAGATTGCTGGAAGATGGCTTGATTTGCTTTTGCTTGCTGCGCTCTGGGACGCCACATTTTGTGTCCTCTTACACTCTTTTACTTGGTTTTCAGATGATCTTCTCAGCTGTAGCAAACGAAGAATCAAACATTCATTTTGCGACATGATCGGGCGTACTCAGCTCCCACTTTGATAAAGCTTCTTTTTCCGAGTTGCACTCAAGCTATGCGTTGAAGGCATGAAGTATGACGTTGGGTCTTGCGAACACGCCGTGGTAACGCAACACAGTTAGGTGTAACAACCTCGGAGAGCCTCGCGTCTCCATCCCCGTGGTACGGACATCCCCGTGATACGGAGTGGACGGACGATCTCCCGCTATTCACAGCGACAATAGTCTCCCGGCAACTCACGTGCATAAGCGCAATTGCAATTCGACTTTTCGTCCAATCTCCACTCAATATACGCCTCCGCTCTTGTAAATATCTTTGCGGAAACAATGTACCCGTAGTATTGCCGCCGTCCGCTTGGCCAGCGACGACGGTGCGCAATAGCGAGGCTACGGAGGGCAATTACCCCTGAGCCAATCCAAGCCACAAACACGTGGGTCGGCTAGCGAAACGCCGCAAGCATGATCGGGACTCGACTCCTCCCGAACTTTGAGCGCGAAAGGCTTGCATTCTCCATTGCTTTCATTGACTTTGCTTGTTAGCACGTCTCAGGTCGTGGTAATCGCTGTCACGCTGCATTGGCTTGTAACCTTCCAGAGCTGTACCTGCATCGCGCCCTCGCTTCTCTATACATAGTAGCGCTCTTCGCAATTGGCGGACCGTCGCGAGAAAGCCAAGCGAAAAGACAACTTTACATACAGCGCCTCCAGGATTTTTCCTGAGGCGATTGACACGAAGCGCGCTGCAAGGGATGCGCTTGGTGGTGATCGTCCTCGACGCACCGTTCCGCGAAGACGCGAGTCGTACGTGATCTGTTCGATCCGATTTAGGCAATCAGCGACCCGCTCAAGGACTGCAGTGGAGGCGCTATTAGGTTTGGAGCACGACAAGGCACCCGTTATTGGTAGTCCGACCATGGCTTCTAGCGGTAAGCAAGGCGAAATGGCACGACAACCGCGACGAGATTGTCTTGATTCGTGGGTGAGCCAGACCCTTTCAGCTCGTCTAATTTGGAAAAAGAAGGGGAATGGTGGGGAGCATACTTGTCAAGCTCCTGTCGCTCATGGTAGCTTTCTTTTGCCCCGCGGGTACTCGAAGGCTTTTCTCTACCCTGCATATTTTCTTTTGTCGCTACTGTTCGGTAACTTGGTAGTTCTTTATCAAGTGTGGATGTCTGGCCGCAGATGATGAAATCCAAATCTTGCAGTTGTCTTTCCGCCAGGTACTCAAGCGACATGGAGCCTCCAATTCCCCGCAATATTGACCTGGATCTGGATAGGGATACGACGAGACCGATGGCGTTGAAACGCAAGGGTTCGACATTGCAGACGTCTGTTGAGATCTTGAGATGCAAGTTTGGGAAGCCTGCAGGTTTACCAGAGGGCGACGGGACGTTTGAGCCATCGAAGGACTGGACCCCCATATACTATGCCGTCTTCCACCAACGGGAAGCCGCACTGTCACATTTTCTACGAGCTGGCGGATCGCCAGATGATGTTACTAGCTTGGGAATACCACCGCTGTGCATCGCTATCGCCAATGGACATGCCAGTATCGCGAGGATACTCCTGAATGCTGGTGCAAACGTCGATGCTGCGATGACGGTCGGTGGTGAGACAGCATTGCACTTGGCTGTCAAGAACGGTCGTAGTGATCTTGTCGAACTTCTTATCCCGTATGGACCCAATCTCGAGACCAAAACAAATCAATCCGGCGAGACACCTCTTCACTACGCCGCATCTAAATCCGGATCGCTAGCAACCGTCACGACGCTGCTCAAGCATGGTGCTAGTTATGAAGCACTCAACGTCCACAGTCAAACGCCAGCAGAGGCTGCTCTCAAATCCAATAACATCCAAGGCGCCGTGGCGATTATTAACGCCGCACATGGCAAGCGCAACAAACTTGAGAAAGAGAGGGAAATGCTGCTCAAGCATGTGCAGAAGACGCAAGGCCGTTTCTCGATGGGCAACGACCTCATCGCCGACATCTTCACCGCAGCCTGCGGTGCAGAATCCAACGTTCTTGTGGAAGCAATCAAGAGGAATGACGCCAGTTTGGTGGAGATGTTCCTAGAGAAGGGCTCGGATCCAGATCGAGAGGCAGCAAATGGTCTTCGACCCATCTTCGTGGCACTAGAATGCGCTGGAGCACCAGTGATTACTGCGCTTCTCAAACGTACCCCAGACCTTACCGCCCGTGATGGCAGGGGTCTTACTGTACTCCAAGCCACTTTCGAAAGCCCATTGGCGCAGGAAAAGGAGTCAATGTCCATCATCCTGGGTGCGCTGCTAGAGCAAGGCGCTGATGCTACTGTAACGTACCCAGATGGCAAGACACTGCTTCATCATGCCGTGTCTACACGTTTCAGCAACACCAAGATCGCAAAATTGCTCATCGATGCTGGCGCGGAGATCGATGCGCGAGACCAAGACGGCGATACACCTTTGCATCTTGCTACTCACAGTAGATCCTGCACAGAGTTGCTACTGAGGCACAAAGCGAACCCCAACCTAACCGATGCTGACGACCTCACGCCTTTGCTCAATGCTACTGCGAACGGCAAGAAGGACAAAGAGTCAGACCTGGAGTCTTTGGTCAAAGCATCCGACATACGCAGGACCAACGCGAACGGACAGACAGCTCTACATCTTGCCGCTATGAATGGCCTAGAGAAGACCGTGCAGTTATTACTCCGAGCTCGCGCAAATACCGCCATTGGCGACAAGGACAAGAACACGCCGCTTCTTCTTGCTGTGAAGCATCAGCAATGGTCTGTTGTACCACTTCTCACGATACCACCAAGCATCAATTCCTGGGATGAGGATGGTATGAGCCCTCTGCACCTAATTGCTCAAAGCACACCTAAAGCGCCAGCAACCTGGAAAGACATTGCTGCCATTGTTGGCCCATTCTGTGATCGTGGTGTCAGCAGGACTACGCGCGAGCGATCGGGTGCCACGCCGCTCATTCTTGCGATCAAGGCGCTTCCAGAGGACGGCCTGCCCGTGGTTGAAGCTCTCTTGGTACAGAAGCAGGACCGAAAAGCGAGTCGGAATTGCGTCAACCACGAGGATCACAAGAATCAAGACGCATTGTTCTACGCCGTGACGATGGGCAAGCCTGTCTTCGTGAATGCGCTGCTTAAGCATGGCGCTACTTCCGACTTCCAGGATTGGGTACCCGGAGCCAGCCAGTTGCAGCCTACTGTTGAGGCTGACAAGCAGATCCTGAAGCTCTTTGCAGAGTACGAGTGGACCAAGCGCGCAGGAGTACTGCGCAGACGGCCAAGCAACCCTGTAGCGGAGGTCTCGGCTTTCTCTACTACGTTACCTGTCAAGGATCTCGAACACATGATCGCAATGGGCCTAGACGTTAATACCTTACCGAGATCGGCTTTGGGCGTGTCGTTACTGTGGGCTCTCCTCCGACACATTACACTTACACCATCGATGCCAGAGGACTACGTGCTAGAAACTCTATGTGTTGTTCTCAACGCGGGTGCTAATCCGAATGCGTGCATACCACGGAGCTCAACATCGGCACAGTCAGCATCGACTTCGAAGCAGAGTACAGTTTTGACCCAGCATCCTCTCACATTCCTGCTTGAACAGTACCCTGAAATCACTTTGGACGTGATAAGCCTGTTGCTCGCGAAGGGCGCACAATTGACAGTCGCGTCCGCATTTTCCAACGGTCGGTTGCCGTTGCACTCAGCAGTCAAGGCGAATCGCTTCGACGTGGTACAAGAGTTCTTGCTCCATGGAGCTGAGGTGAACAGCGTTGACCTGGATGGAAGAACACCACTTTACATGGCTGCTGAGCGCGGAGATTGGGAAATCCTCAACTCATTGCTTCGTCACGGCGCTAAGATTGACATATCTGACGTGGAGCAGAACAGCCCTCTGCATGCGGCAGCGGCTGGCGGAAGTGACAAGATCATTGCCTCTCTGCTGTATGAAGGCGCCAAAACGAACGTAAAGAACGCGAGAGACTTGACACCGGTCTCCTGCGTGGCCGAAGATCTCCCTGAGGGAGAGAAGAGCTTGATAGTAGACATGCTCAAAGCCGCGGAAGAGAAGGAACAGGCAGCTGAAGAAGAACAACTAAAACAAGCCGCTGCCATTGCAGCATACGAAGCGAAGATGCAGCAATTGAAGGAGGAAGAAGCAAAAGCAAAGTTGCACCGAGAGCTAGAAGCAGAAGCTCGCATCCTGAAAGCCAACGAAGAAGCTTCCGCAAAACCGCTACGCGAACAACCTACACTACCAGCCCCAATGCCCACATCACCGCCACTCCCTACCGCCCGAAAACCGTCTTTCCTATCTCGAAAAGCCTCGTCTCTCTTCAACAAATCCAGATCTGCACCTCCCCCTCTCGACAACCTACCAAAGCCAAGACACGCTTCTCTCTTCCGTCTCCGCATCAACACGCCACCCCCCTCGAAGCAACAGCAAAGTAACAACCTCGAACCGCCCGTCCGACCCATCGCCATTCCCTCCCCTCATATCCTCGCTAGCCCCGACTTCTTCAGCACAGAGTTCAACAATATGATGGATCCACGACCCGTCGTCGCACTACCAGCTACGATCCAGCGCCGCACGACTGCGGCACGCGTGGACAGCGGGCTGAGTGAGAGACGAAGTAGTATAATGGGCATGTTGGATCTAGAAAAGGTCAATGAGAAGTTGAGCAGTCCGGAGCTGAGGGCGAGGGAAATTGCGGGCAAGAGGGAGAGTAGTGGGGAGGAGCTGGCAGATTGGTTGGCTTTGACGAGGATGATGGATGGGTTGTGATGATCTTGATGTTGGTGACACGCGCGTGGTGATGCTATTTTCTTGTGTATACCAGCTTCGGTTGTTGTCCGTTCTCCGGTTTCGGTCTTGAGCACACTCTTTGGATATCTCTTTTTGTTGTATTTCCCTGTTTCCTTTGCGGCATAGCATATGTTGGAGCGTCTTTCGGTTTTCATTTTGATGCTGTACGATATTAGGATGTATATGCTAATACCCGGCATTCTATTACATAATGCAAGCAGAGTTGCTATCAGTCAATCAGTCAGTTGTCAGTTCATCTTTGCGGTTCAAACTGTCAGTCTGGAGGTAGTGAACTGACCTGATTGACTGCCAAGACATTTTTTAGAATCGCGAACTGAGACT